TTGAACTACTTGTATTCTTCTTCTTCTTCTTCTTCCTCCTCCTCTTCTTCTTCTTTTTCTTCTTCTATATTTTCTTTAGTCTTCTTGTCAGTTGTTCCGTCATAGCCCTCTCATTGAACAGAAAATAGAAACTTACTCTTTCTTTTTTTTTCCATCTCATATTCAACATCTAAAAGCAGCAATAACAACTACAATGACAACAAAAACATACAAATAAACAGCCAAAAAAAAAAAAACCAACTAATAAAATGCAAAAGAAATTTTGTCCTAAAAATATAATGGAAAAAAAGTTAAATTTCTTCAAACGTTATTTTTGAAGAGTAGAGAAAACATAAAAAAAGAGTAAAAATAAAACAAAAACTTGGCGAAAATTTTTTAATATTTTCACTTAACTTTCAACCGAAAAAAATGAGAAAAAAGAAAAAAAACTTTCTTTTCGCAAACATTAAAACAATACAAAAATTATAACAGTCAGTGATAATAAATAATTATATCAGTTTTTTTTTTTTTGCAATAATAAACTGTAAAAAATTTGCCGACAGTAATTGTTGAAGTTCTGAAATCTAAGTGTTTAAAAAAGAAAAAAAAAACTGATGTAGTTGAGGTTAACCGTTGTGTTCCGTTGTTACTGTTAATGATCAGTTGCTGACGGCGAAGGCAATGACAACGCCAAATGATAATTAGTGTTATAATTCTATTGACAATCTTTATTTGTTTCTCATAAATACAATTATTTTTGTTCAAATGGTTTATTTAGAAAATGTTTATTAAAAAAAAAAATTGTTTAAAACATAACGATACCACATTTTCTTTCTCCTTTTCCTCTTCTCTTCTTCCTTTTCTTTTACTTCTTTTTCGGAATTCCTTCTTCACCGGTGACCGCATAAAATTTGCTTCTTTTTTTTTTTTAAGAAGGAAAAAAAGAAAGGAAGAAACTGTAGTCAGAATAAACTTTTGCTTTTTTTATGATCAACAACAAAATCTTTCAAAAAAGGAAGAAAAAAAATAAATGAATGAATTGGTAAGTGGGGGAAAAAATTAAAAATAAGGAAGGCTGAATTACCGACAACACAATAGAAGCAATGCAACAAATCGTCGTTTGCACTTTTCCTGTCTCATACAGCCATCATTCATTTATAACTCTAAGCAGTTATGAAGTTACAGCATTCAGCAAGACTTCTTTTCACTTATTCCTGTCACAGTTTACCATTAAATAATTTTGCAACAGATTCTAGCTAAGTATAATTCTGTGTTGACGGCAGCAAAACACAATAGAATAATAGAGCAGCAAAAGTAATCGTATTTTAGACAGCGACGGCTATCGTTAAATTGGCTTTCTCTTACCGGTAAATGTTTGTCATAATTTGTTGCCTATCTGAAAAACTGCTTTCAGCCCTGTAACATAAAAAAAAAAAAA